GAATCTAAATGCTCTTTTCTAAACCGCAGTCATTAATTCAACATGTTCTGTTGCCAATGGTGTTCTGCCCCGTTGTAAACGTTGCTGTATCTGGAACCCCTGTTGCTGTGACTTTCTGGCCATTATCAGCTGGCCTGTGGGTGAGTTGTTTTGTAGTAAAGATTAAAGGAAAAAATAGACCTTTCTGAAGTTGATCCTCAATATTTATACGAAGGGTCAAATTTCTAGATGGGTGTGTTGTTCATGTACACTCAGACAAACACATAAAGAAACCACTTATCTGTGTCCTTGGCTATCAGAAACCAGAAACAACATAAAAATATTAAACCTTCTTAAATAGCCAGACCCCTGGATGGAAAGACTGCAGAAGAAGTGATGCAAAACTGTCTTAGCAAAAAAAATGGTCATGATATATTACGCTACATGTGTGAGAAACAAGCAAAGTGCAACAAAACAACCAGATTCTGCAGTTGTCATATATAGTGTCCTGCTTTTTTAGTGTGGAGTATTTTCTCTTTAATGACTGTATGTCATAATAAGTTAGTATCAGTACCTTTCAGAACTGGAGCCAATCCAAGGAAAGTACACAGGGCTGGTGCCCTTTTCACCAGAAATCTTTCATTAACAAATGTTGATGGAAGCACATTTAGCCACAGCAATTTGCGTGGCAGTTGAATTGCTGTTTGTATTAAACAGCAAACCAGAGAATAATAAAGGAAAACATGAACATACCAGTGGTAAGTAAGGGAGCATAGCACTCCTCCAGCTTTTTCCATGCTGATCATATGTTCTAAGGTTTGTAAGAACAAACAAAATTGCTTATTGTAACAAGGGATGCTAATCATGCTCAGCTGTCATGACATTATTTCATGTCAGCTATCTAGAGGACTCAGGTCTATTCACTTGGTTTGCACCTGTTTGCAGTAGAGCAGTGCTTCTCCGAAATGCCCAGTAGCCATATTTCATCATCAAAGGTTAATAACTCTGTTCATCATTTCAAATGCATGCACCCGAACAAGGTACCTAACAAGTGAGCAGTCATATTGGTGGTTAAGGGAATTCTGGAATCTGAGTGCCAAAGCTAGCAGTTAGGGAGACATGGAAGCCCTGGTTTGGACATCAGAGAACTCCTAAAGCAAGTCTGAGGAATGTACACATGTATTTTTTTTGAAGTGACAGTATGAAGAAGGGTGTAATTAATTACTGAGTGGTACAAGTGAGAGCATGTTGTGTTAGATAGAGTACAAGATAGGAGATGTGGCTTTAGTACTAAAGGTAATCTCAGGCAAACCATTCACTTTCCTTGAGCCTCTCATTGTTGTTTATTGTGGAATGAAACATTTCAGTGTTAACCAGAAAGTTCTTCTCAACACTGAGTTCTCTAGTTTTCTGAACATAAGAAGATTTAGTACAACTGTACTCCCAGAGATTCTTTTAAAGACCTAAAGCTAATTTAATCAAAAGAAAAGAGATGAATTGGTTAGAAATCCAGGAGTTTTGTGAGTTTTATTAGATACAGTCCTCAACCAACTCTTTCTCTGTTTCTTATCTCTGACTTCTTTTTTTGCCAGCTTTACTGTTTAGCAAGTTCCAATGCCGTACTGGAAAATACAGCCTTGAAAGCAGCAGGGTGGTAGGTAGATGGTTTACTCACCGTCCTGGTTCTTGACCTGTTTAAGTAGCAGGACATGTTAGTTAGGCCCAATCAGTGAAAGTTTCACAGGAATTACACAGAGAAGAACAAGAAGGTTTCAAAAGGAATAATAGACTGACCTTCCTCATATCTGTATTTCCTCAGATGAGTGAGTTGTGTTTAGTTGTGTGAGAGACCCAGTATCTATTATTTATTCAATAACTTTAAGATGTTTTGTGTTTGCCATACCAACTTGACTCGGAAGGAACAAGTTTAGTTTTCTTGTATGGATGATGGGCCACACTATACCTCCCTCTGGTTCCGCTGCACCATTAAACAGTTCGATTCTTTAAAAGAGCCCAGCTCGGAGAATTCCCAGTGTCCAGAAGTAGTAAAACAGGATGGTCACATCCTCCTAGAGATAAAGCAGCAATCTTATATATCATGAGTATTGAAGAGAGTTGGGCTAAAGACAGAGTTTACTGAAACACATTGAAATAGGCATCTATATTTTGACCTATCTGGCATTCATCTTTCCTTCTCTTATTATTAATACCCTGATTTTGCATGTGGAATATTGTCTTTCTGTTCCTAGTTCAGTCCTTTTGGGATTATCACTGAAAATACTCCATGTTTCTCAGCTAAGCAGTAAGCAAGAGATCTAAGCAAGGATCTTAGTCAGTCTCAGAATTTCCTTTTAAGTAGAGCAATCTAAAGACTAGAAGTTGTGATGGATTAACTAATGGTCAGCTTGTAACACCCAGCTGAACTGAATCAGCGTGGTTCAGGGTATGGAAGGTCCACCCGAGGATTGTTGCCAACAGCATAAAAGGAAAACTGGAGGGGAAGATGGTATGATGTTGATTCTCCTGGAGAAGCTTGTCACACTGGTTTTCCTGATAGGAACTCTGCTGTTCTCATTGTCTGAGGAGCTCAGGTCCTTGCTATTGCTGTGGATGGCTGTGATTCTTTTCGGGGGAGCTCTGGTTCTTATTTGAGTGTAAGAACACCTTCCTGGCTCCAGTGCAGATCCCTCAGCCTCCTGGCACAGATCCTTTGCCCTGCTGGTGCAGACTTCTAGCCTCCACTGCTACTGACCTTTGGGCCTTCCCAGTGCAGATCCTTGATATAGACTTGGATAAGACATTGCCATGGGCTCTAGGCCTCCACCTAGACTCATGCAGGACATTGCCTTGGGATCCAGGCCTTCAGCTAGATTCTTTGGGTCTCTAGTGTATGGACAGATCTCCTGCACTTTTCTGCATTTGGCTCTTTTGGATGAATATTATAAAATAATCCTATAAATTATGTGCGCTGTATTAAATCTATTCCCTTGTTAATGCTACCTAGAGCCCTTCCTACCCAGGCCTGTTCTAGTTGTTACTCTCTGTAGAGTCTGGATCCTCTTTCTCCATGTACTTGTAAATTATTCTTAAATACATTCTAAATGCTTCATATTGAGTTAGCAACTTACTCCTATCAGCTGGCAACTTCTTGGTACCAGAACATCCCCACATTTCATGTGTTAAGTTCATTATCAGTGAGTTGGTGTTGGCCCTGGGCTTAGCTGGGAAGCTTATCTGATATAGTTGAGCTTCCTTCTGAGTCATGTGTAGACACCTACAGGTCAGCTGGTCACCTCTGGTCTGCTCGATTGCTGGCTGTCAGCAGGGCAACCTTTATGGTAGCAGGGGTGGGAAGAGTTGTGGGCCATGCCTCTCTTTTTACCTAGTGGATTGTTCGTATGGTAATAACAAGGATCCAAGTGGGAAGTAAAATTCTTCAAAGCTTCTTGAAGGTTTGTTCACATTGGCACATGTTCTTGCTGCTATATTCTGTCCACTGAATCAAGTCAGGAAACCAGCCTAGATGTCAGATGCAAAGAAGCAGATGTGCATGACATCTAGATGGAAGGAGCTGCAACGTCCCAATGCAGTGAACAAGCTCGTAGGGAAAGGAATGATTGAGGACACTTATATAGTCTAATTTACCCCAAGTTTGTTTATATACCTTTTAACCAAAGAATCTGATATGCCAACCAGATGGCCCTTAGAAGTATACTCTAAAACATCAGCATGTTCCTCTGTCATTATTGACTTAACTAATTATGGTTGGTTTAGAGAGGCAAAGTTAATTTCTCCAAGGGACAAAGAAGAAAACCTAATTCTAATCTTTAGTGGTAGGACATTGTGTCTTGTGGGTGTTGCTTGCCACTTCATTATAGCCTTAGCTGTGCATTCTCAAAGTATTTTTACCATCAGTTCTATACTCTTCTAGGGCTGACGTTTCAGTGCATTGCCTGCCGAGTTATGACATCTACCAGTGTGACTTTCCTACCCATTATATTTCTGCTTCCTGATGTATCTAATGTAGCAGTGCTAAAAGCATTTGGATTTATCTTTCTGGGTTACATATTAGGTTTCTGTAAGTTGTATTTTCCTTTTATGCAGCACAGCCTCTTGGTAAGCTACATGAATCATAGTAAGGCAAATGCTAATACTAATGTGCACCGCTGTCGGTGTTTCCAGCCAGTTTTCATCCAAGTTCTGATTCAGCCTAGCATTCTTTAGGTTTGTGAGATCTAATAAGATCATAGCACAGGGTGGTATCGCTGTAGGCAGAAAATTCTGCTTGCCAAATCATTTTCCTTTATAGCCAGTTCATAAATTAATGTAGGACCCTGAGACACCATGATTGTATGTATGCATTAAGAGAAATCCCTCTTCAGTTGACTGCCTTTCCTTCCAGCCACTAGTTTCTCTGAAATGATGCCAAAGTCTTCGTTAGAGATAGCTTCAATGCTCCCACCCTCTCAGTGTGAAATGATAATTAGTATGACTTTACAGTTGAGGCGGTGCTCCACATCCATTAATAGCAGTCATTATTCCAGGGTGTTTAAATTTGGTTATAAAAATTGACTCTAGGGGTAGAACTTGGTGTGGTGGTTTATTTTAAAGGCAAATGGTTTGTTTTGAATTTTTCTTTTAAAAGAAAATCTTCCTTTTTATAAGGAAATTTTTTTTTTATTTTTGAGTTATATGAGTATTGAACTAAATTCCCAAAATATTGGCATAATTTTGGATGTGTAATTGATGTGTTATCATCCTGTGGTGCCTCTCCTAAACCTGAGACCTCCCAAAGCTTCTCAAGTAGCTTTCATTTGGTGTGGTCTGCATCGCAACAGATGGAATCCTAGGGCATTGGAAAAAAAAAAATCAAAAAACAAGAAAATATTGTTTCTTACACTTCTACATCAAATTCTCTTCTTTCCAGGTAACAGTTTCTACAGGCTACTGACTGAATTGCATTTGCTGATAAAAGGTACCCATAGTTACATTTTCATAGATGTTTTGTTTTATTTTTGTAGATCTGCTGGAAGAGACCCAAAGAAAAGATGAAGAAATGGAATCTCTGCAGGTAAAGTAAATTCTCTGATCAAGCAAGTATCTGTGGAATTGAAACATCTCCCCCCGCCGCCCCCGTTATCCTTCATTATTGTCACATTGAGACTATTACAGAAAATGGGGTAAAAAATACTATGTCAAAACTTGAAAACTGAAGTTGGAATTTGCTTCCTTTAGGTATCTTTGAGATCACCTATAATCTAAAGTAGGGAGCCAACTAAGCGTCTAGATGACTCTTGAAAGGAACCCTTATTCCTTGATGTAGTATAAGAGTAGCTTTAGCATTAGGAAATAAAGGTAGCAAAGTCATCTTCCCAAAACATGGCTGATGAATGAGGATGAATTCATGCAGTCTGCATTTCCAAGCAAAAGTCAAATGTGTTCTACTCCGTAGTTGACATCTACTCATGACCAACCAGGAATGTTAGCGCTTACATGGAGTTTAACATTTACCTGGTACAGCCTCTCAATTTACCCTGGAAGTATGCACATTTCTTGGAAAATAGTATTTGAAAGATTCGGCTAGAAGTTTAATTGACATTTTCATGGTATGAGCAATTGATGTTAAGTTGATGTCTGACAGAAGTTCTCTCTTTCACATTGGGCTAACTTATGAGTGTGTAAATCAAGTGTCTTTCTTTATTAGGGGAAACAATCGGTTATACTCACATGACAGAACCAATTCACTTAATGTCATGCTGGAGATTAAGAATAGTAAATACTTTGGGCATTAAAGTTCTTCATGGGCCTGAAACTGTAAGGCTGGACCAGAGACTGATACAGTGAACTGGCTTGAGTGCTTTGAGAAGAAAAATGTTTGCTTCTGTTGAATGAGTAATGGGTCAAGTAAAGCCAAAAGAACAAGGGAAATATTTTGTAATTGGAGACTTTATATTTGATGGTATGTCCATGAAAAGAAAATGATATAATTCATCTGAAAATGCAGAGGTAGTGCAGTTCTATGTATGCCTAAAAGTGGTAAACATTAACTACAGTTTTGTATAGATTAAGTTGTTTTTAATATTTTGTGCTATATTCATGTATAAAAAGGAAGTATACTAATTGATCCATTGTGAAGCCAGGGAAAATCTTAAGTGTGTACTGCCCTCCCAATCTCTGTGAAATTAATATTAGCAGTGCTTATTGCAAAAAGGAAAATTCTATATATACTCAGTGTGTATATTGAGAAGAGAACAAAGTATTTTTGAGATATTTTGGTTACATGTTGTGATTGCCATTGGCCCTAGAGGACTACATATAAATATATACATATAAATATATTTTTTGACTATGTATCTAGCTTTTTGAAATGACAACACGGCTAGTTCGGAGCTTATTTCTCTCACAATACAAATACTGTAATCAGTAACCCCATTAAATGTAATAGCCTATTTGGTTTCTCAAATGTTTATTAAATATTGGCAGCATTTTTACCCATGTGTCCACCACAATGCCATAGACTGCAACAGCTAACTAGCAATGCTTGTTTATAGATGTAGACTATATAGTGTGATATCCTACACACAAAGAGTTACATGTTAGCACTTTATAGTGGTGGTCAACATCTGATGCCAACACTCCAGTAAAAATGCAGAGAGCTGATGTTTTTCAGAGGAATAGGAGTTCAGGGGCACATTACAAAAATAGCCTTTATTATTAAAGAGTAGGAGAAAAAAATCCATGAAAAAGTGCATGAATCTATTTAGAATATAGATTCCGTATTCAAATATAAATAGGATAGGTGATAGTTTGGAGAAGGCTATTAAATTATGTAGTTTGACTTCTTTTTTTTTCTTTTGGTACTAGGGATCGAACTGAAGGCCTCACACTTGCCAGGCAGGTGCTGTTCTGCTGAGCTACATCCCTGAATTCTTAAAATAATACAATAGTTCTTTGGGGGAGGAAGGAACAAAACAGTTTCAAAAAAAAATGATACCAGTAGAGATTGGAGGCTAACAACCTTGAGTCTTAAGTCCCAGCTCTGCCTCTGATTCACTGGGTAACCTTGGGTTACTCAATTAACTTTGCCGTGCCTGTTTTTTCACCTGTAATATGAAATCATAAAACTGTCTTCCAGAAGTGTTTAGTGTGTATTAGATTATCCCAGAAGGGAGACCTAAACATTTAATTCCAATTTGCAACGTTAGCAAATCCTCATGTATCCAAAGTAGAGTCGATTTTATTTACTCATTATCATCTTACAATTATGTAGAACAGATATTCTGCATTTAATGTTACTCTTCTTAAGAAAGGTAGGGAGTATATTATTTACCTCTAACCCTCTCCCAGTTTCCTGTAATAAAAAGCTCTGTGTGTTTTATTTATCCCTAAACTCTCCCACTTTCCTGTAATGAAAGTCCTCTGTTTATTCATTGAACACACATTGATTGAGCAATAACATTGTGCATGGCAGTGTAGTACAGGTGCTAAGGACCCAGAGGCAAGCTGTGGATCCTGTAGTACTTCTGACCCTCTGTACTAGAGTTAGTGGTAAAGACTATTTGTAATCAAATACTGAAAATTCTATTAGAGGGACTGTATAAATTCCTGGGGGGTCATATAAGAACATTATCCTTGTTTGTTGACAGTAAGAGTAGGTTTCTTGGATGGGAAGTAGGATTAAGTTGCATGCGGATAGGTTGAACTGGGATATAGTGGCAATCCAAGTAGACTTCCCTAAGGAAGGCATTGTTTAAACGGTAACTAGGACTTACCTACAGAAGTCTGGGGTGAGGCTAAGAAAAGTTTAGGCACTGGGAAGGATATGGGAAGGGTTATAATTAAAAAAAAAAATTTCCTATTTAAAGAACTAGAGGAAGTTTATTATAGTAGACTATAATATCTGAGGAGAAGCAAACCAGGATTTTATAAAGTCTGCAGAGGTCTAAACTGTCATAAAGGAGTCTGGACTTTAGTATGCGCAAAACCAGAGAAGAGTTTGATGCAAGAGAACAATATGATCAAATCTGCATTTCGAATAGGTAACTGGCTGTAAAGTGGGAAATACTGTAGTGCCTCGGTTCACCACAGTAATTTGTTCTATGATTCTGGACAAGATGACCACGTTTGTGTTTGTTTGGGAAAAGCGTCAGCAGTCATGTTTGTCACCTGATGCAGAGTTTGCAAACAAAAGCACAATTTTGCCAAATGCTTTTGTTTGAGAACCAAATTGTTTGCGAATACAAGTGTGCATGAACTGATTATGCTATAAGCCAGGTGGAGCAATTAAGAGATATTTTTGAGAATCTTAGCAAGAGATGTTGGTGTCCTGGATTGAGTAGCGGCAGGAGGCCTGAAAAAGAGTGTTAGTTTCTTAATATATTTTAGACTATAACAAAGCAGTGCAACTTTGAGATTGGAAGTAAGAGTTTAGAGTTCAGAATGACTCTTGGGATTCTTGATTGAACAACTTCATGGGTGGTCGTGCTAATCACTGGAGGGAGGAAGCTGAGTAGTTTAATTTTTGCTGTTTGAAATACCCAGGTGGTGGTGTTACGGAGTGGGTTGGGCAAGTTTCACATAACTCTGGAGCTCCAAGGGGTTTGAAGAAGATGTGCACAATTTGATGTCAGCAGATATAGTGTCCATAACATGTAGACGATGATAACAGTCCCAGGAGCAAATGAACACTCAGGAGAAGTAGGAAGAACCACACAAAATGAAAGCCTAGGCTAGAACCCTAGAGAGCACCAACATTTACATAATAGACCAAGGCCCAAACCTGCAAAGCAGGTTAAGATGTAAAAGCAAGCAAACAAACAAACACATAACTACAAGAGCACATAGTGTCATGAAGCTTGGCAAAAGAATAGTTCAAGGGGAAAATACTCAACTGAACAGAAGGAATATTTGTTATCACTGTACATCCTTCTAGTTATGGATTTTGGTAGCAACATAAAAACTTACCATTCAGTGAATTGTAATTTCCCATTCTGCCTGGGAAGCAGCTCTCATAACCTCCATTTTCCCAAATGCCACTACTTAGCTCCATGCCTTATACCACAGTAGCTATTCAGTAGATTTCAGTGCACTGAACAAATGAATGCCACTCCGTCTTCGTTTAACACCTATTCCTGATCTTCCCAAGGCTCATCCATTGAAAAATAATGCTTATTCTTGTCCTAGACTTCATTTTTTTAAAAGAATTGTTTTTGAAAGAGATATCCAAGTGCATAATATTCAATTTCCTTCTCTCTCTCTCTCTCTCTCTCTCTCTCTCTTTTTCTTCCCATTCCCCCCTCCTTTTTTTCTCTCCCTCTTTGACTGTAGTCTTTGCACAATGATCAATAAGTGAGTAATTTGGTGTGAGTGGTAAGGAGCAGTGGAAAAGATGAAACACCAGGGAAGAGGGAGTAGGCAGTGAGGAAGAGAATGTTTCAATCTTCTAAGGAATCACACACTGTGGAGACAAGTATACCTGACAGTGATTATTATAATGTACCTCGTAATTACAAGAATTCTTCATTGGAACTTAGCATTGTCTGGCTTTGTGTGTGTGTGTGTGTGTGTGTGTGTGTGTGTGTGTGTGAGAGAGAGAGAGAGAGAGATTCTTTTGCAGTTACATTGTGTGCTGCTCTTCTTAAAAACAAAGTATTGTCTTTGACTATAAATGTGTATTGCAGTTTCAGAGTTCTGTTTGCATAAGAGTTTAAGGTACATTGGAACAAATTCCTTCTTTAATCCTCTCAAGATCAGCAGAAACATTTAAAATAGACACAAAAGGTAATCCATTTTCCCTCAATTTATTGAAATGTATTCAGTGACTTTCACCCTACTTGTGATGGCTGATAGTATATAGGTGCTGCTGCTGCTTTTTATTTTTGTTTTTTAAAATGCTGCACCAACCTATAGGGTTCGCTTTTCACAGACTTCATATTTTTCCTTCATGTTGCTTTGAGAACCTCCAAATGCAGAGCTCACTAAGAAAGTATCCGGCTGGATGAAGAAAAGCTTCAAAGGGCCACCTGTAAAAGTCACTGAGCATAACATCTGGATAACTCATTTGCCCCTTCT